GGGCCTGGTGGGAGTTGTTTGGACCATGGGGGTAAAGCCCTCATGGCTTGGTGCTGTTTTCAAGATAGTGAGTTCTTGTGAGATCTGGTCATTTAAAAGTGTGTGGCATGTCCCGTCCCACACCTGCTGACTCTCTTACTTGCTCTTGCTTTGGCCATGTGATGTGCCTGCTCATGATTGTAAGCTCCCTGAGGCCTCCCTATAAACGGAGCAGATGCCAGCACCATGCTTCTTGTAAAGCCTGCAGAACCCTGAGCCAATTTAACCTCTTTTCCTTATAATTACCTGGTCTCGGATGTTTCCTTATAGCAATGCAAGAAAGGCCTGATGCACCATCTTTGGAGACTAGCTAGCACGTGGGCCTTCTCCATCTGTAGCTACACTTCTAGAACACACGTGGCTTCCAAGCCCACTGCAGCAGCCGGAGGAAGAGCTCAGGGTCCTGTGGGTTGTTTCTAAGGCTCAGATCTATGGTTCACAACACTTCTGCCCATATTCTATTGGCCAGAATCTGGCTCCCTAGCCTCCACCTGACAGCTAGGGAACTCAGCAAATGTAGGGAGGGATCTGCTGGGAGCCATCTCCGCCACAAGGAGCAAGTGAAAGCAGGTAAAAAGGAAGCCATGACTGACGCACAAGTTGGGGAGGTGATGAGGGATGTTTTGAATGCTTCAGAGCAGTCTGGGTACACCCAAAAGTACAATGATTACATGAGGGGCAGGAGAGTGAATTAGAAAAAGATTGTTTTTCTGGATCCAGCTCCAATGGGGTTTGTTCCCCAGGTCTTGGCGCTGTGCCTTGGTTCTTCTCGCCACGGATATCCAGGCTGGATACCCCACTGTGGCTCTACCAGGGAGGAAAATATTTTCCTGCCACTGCCCCAAGCCTCCTGACTGATTCCAGCTACTTTGGACATCTCAGCTTTGGGGACTACCCTAGACCTTTATAATCAACAATTAGAGGCTGGTGCAGCAAGGGTGCTCTGGAACCTGCCTGGTGCTCCAGGGCTACAGGCAGCACGTACTGTCATTGGTCGGCATTTGTGCTGCCTTTGCTAGAGTTTTGTGGATCTCAGCCCTGAAACCTGTGTCTTTTTTTTTTTTTTTTTTTTTTGAGACAGAGTTTCGCTCTTGTTACCCAGGCTGGAGTGCAATGGCGCGATCTCCGCTCACTGCAACCTCCGCCTCCTGGGTTCAGGCAATTCTCCTGCCTCAGCCTCCTGAGTAGCTGGGATTACAGGCTCGCGCCACCATGCCCAGCTGATTTTTTTGTATTTTTAGTGGAGACGGGGTTTCACCATGTTGACCAGGATGGTCTCGATCTCTTGACCTCGTGATCCACCCGTCTCAGTCTCCCAAAGTGCTGGGATTACAGGCGTGAGCCACTGTGCCCGGCCCTGAAACCTGTGTCTTTTTACAGTCAAAGGGTCTGAGTTGGGAGAAGCCACCTAGATATGCTCTACCATAGCGTTCTGGGGTTTCCTGTCATCTCTGAAGCTTCCAAGCTCTTATAATGGGGGTTTACAGACTGTAGCATTGAGGTATGAGGGCTTGTAGATATCATCCAGTTCAGAGGACTTAAACTCCAGGTATCCAGAACTTAGAATAAATCCTCATGGCCTCACCATGGCAACAGGGCTCACCTCCTCTCTCTCATACCTCTCCCTCCCTTGGCCACTATTGCTACAGACATCCTGACCCTTTTACCTCTTTATCAAATAAGCTCAATCTGCCCCAGGGCCTTTGCCTGGGCTTGCTTTCCTCCAACAATGGTTTACCCCTGATATCTGCCTGAAGAAATCCTTGTCACCTTTCTGATTGCAAAGAAGATTCCTTGACAGCTCATTCTGAAGCAGCTTTTCCCTCTAGTCTTGCTAGTGTCTCTTTCATTACCCTGTTCCATTTTCTTTATAGTGCTTAGCATTAGATGACATTATTTTGAAGTTGTTTATTTCTCTCCTCAATAATATAAGCCCAAGAAAGACAAGGAATATGTTTTTGATTCTGTTTGTATCCCTGGGGACTAGAAGAGGGTCTGAGAGATGGTTGCAGCAGAACCCAAAGCAGAGGAATCTTGTGCTAATTAGAAAAAGAGAGCTCCCCGACCCCAACATTTTTTTTAAATTTGAGATGGGGTCTCCCTGTGTCACCCAGGCTGGATGTTGAAGGGAGCCCTTTCTTGATATGCTGGAGGTTTTTTATATTCATTATACAAACCCACCCTGTTGGTGACTTACACATCCTGTATGGCCCTGCCTCCAACCCATCAGAAATACTTGTGGAATGAATGAATGGATTGGTGAAAGTCAGGGGACTGGACCGGACTATCTGAAAACAAACGTCAGTGTGTGCGGCCAGCGTCTGTGTGCCTTCCTTGGTGGGTTGAACCTTCTGTGCATTGATTTCATGGTATTGGGCACAAAATCCCCTTTTTCATTCATTACCAACAAAGATTTGTCAAACACCCACTCACTGTGTTCGCTTGGGGAATTCAGCCATGAATAAGACACAATTTCTTGATTTAAGAAGCTGGGATTCTGGAGGCTGGATGGTGATGTGAAGGATGGTGCAGTCCAGGGTCATAACAACTGCACTAGGAGCCAACCCAGTGCTCTCCTGGAGCACAGGACACCTGCTCAGTGCAGAGGACTCGGCAAGTCTTTCTGGAGAAGTGATTGAGCTGGCTCTGAAAGGCTGGACAGGTTCTAACATTGAGTGCTTTGCACAACTTATAGAGATCCATGTTGCCCAGTCTCCAAGCAGGCTCAAGTTCGGTAGACAAAAGGTAATTTTCAAACTCAAATTCTTTACTTGAATTTCTATTTCCTTCCTTCCTCTCTCCCTCCCTCCCTCCCACCCTTCCATCCTTCCTTCTTTCCTGCCTCCCTCCCTTCTTTCCTTCCTTCCTTCCTTTCTTTCTTTTTTTTTTTTAAATTCCAGAGTCTTCCTTTCCTGCCCAGCAGACTGGAGTGCAGTGATGTGATCTTGGCTCACTGCAACCCCCGACTCCTGGGTTTGAGCGATTCTCCCGCCTCAGCCACCTGAGTAGCTGAGAATACAGGCACATGCAATCATGCCTGGCTAATTTTTGCATTTTTAGTATAGACAGGGTTTCACCATGTTGGCCAGGCTAGTCTTGAACTCCTGATCTCAAGGGATCCACCTGCTTCAGCCTCCCAAAGTGCTGGCATTACAGGCGTGAGCCACCGCACCTGCACCTTGACTTGCATTTCTTAAGTTCTGTGAAATCAGTAGCGATCGTTCTCTAGAATTCCCTTTTGCTCTCCTATCCACTTTCCCCCAGATCCCAGTTCACTCATCTTTCATGCAATCTTCCCTGCAAAACTCCACCCCCAGCTTTCAGGCCCTCTTTCCACTTCTCTGCTCTTTATTGTGAAGACAAGCACAGTCTCTTCCTTTTGGGACCATTCCTTCCTCCTCCAGCTTTTCAGATCTAAACATGCATCCACTCTCTGACTACCCCACAAAAGCCAGAATGGAATCCTTTCTGGAGGGTGGCCCAGGTCAAGAAACTGCACAGACACAGTAGAGGGAGAAAAATGGGTGGTTCTGGACACACACATTAATTATTTTGGACTCATCACACTTTTAAAATGACTGTTATTAATCCACTTCCCAGATGAGGAAACTGGAGCTCACAGAGATCAAGCGACCTGCCCAAGATCCCAAACCTGGTAAAGTGCCTGTTCTTTCTGTCTGCCATACTTCCCTTCCCTGTGGCTTCCTCTTTGCCTACCTAACTGATTCAACCCAAAGAGAAACTTCTCCAGGAAAGCCTTCCCTAAACATCTTGCCTTGGCCAACCTCCCCAACTATTGAACACTTCCATAAGGCTGTGAACTTTCCCTCACAGCCCTTGTCACATTTGTAATTGTGCATTTCTTTGGATTATTCCTGGATTAAAGCCTATCTAGGCTTCAGGCTTTTAGAGTAGGGTCTCTCTCTCTCTCTCTCTGCCTCCCATTGTATAACCAGTGAGTAAAACAACATCTGGGACAAGTCAGTACTTGTTAAATATTTGCTGAATCAAAGAATGAATGACTGGAATTCAAACCCCTGTCTCCAAAATCCAAGTTCTTTTCTGACATCATGAGTTGGTGTTCTCCAGGAGGAGAGGATGGGGGAAGGTCATTCCAGGTGGAGGAATTACCACGTGACCATTTACAATGGGTGCTCTTTTTTGGTGGTGGCAGTGGTGGCAGCAGCTTGAATCCAGACTGTATGTGGAGGGGTGGCAGGAGAAGAAGCAGGAGCTATGGACAAAGATGAGGGCAAGATGAGGAAAAGATTTGGCATGCCTGGCCAGGAACATGGGCCACAGGGAGTGATCGTGAAACACAGTGAGGGTGTCTCATCAGGGGAGTGAGATGATAATAGTCGCATTCAGGAAAGATCACTGCCTGCTGGGAAGACAGAGGGTCAGGGCAGAGCCTGGAGGCCAGGAGAGTGCCACCATCAAACAGGGTGGAGGAGGCACAGTTCTGGACAGGGATGTCAGTGGTCCAGCTCCCAGAAGATGAGGAGAGACAAGAAGTGAAGACGACTCTTCAGTTTCAGGTTTAGGCACCGGGACAGATGGTCCTGCCCTCTCCAGCAGCAGAAAGCACTGAAAGGGAAGGAGGTTGGGGGAAGGGACTGCTTCGGCTGAGCTGCCTAAGTCTGAGAAGCTGGGACACTTGCAGGCGTTGGTCCAGGGTGCAGGTGGGTTTGGTGGAGGGGGAGACTACTAGGAAGGGAGGAGAAGTCCAGTCTGTTTCTAGACCTCATTACGCTGCAGGTGTCTGGGCCAGCCGGTGGCAGACGGAGCTGTGTAGCTGGCTGCTGTCACATCTCTTTCTCTCCCAGCTGCCTTCAGCTCAGCTTAACACCAGCAGAGGCAGAAACGCTTCATAAATGCCACTTGTCAGCTGGGAGGTGTGCTCAGAGCTCAGGAACACTGTTTTCCATCATTCTTTTTTTCCAGTTTGGGGTTTGGGCGCCCTCAGTTCCTTTTCTGGTAAACACTGAGCTGATTATCCATCCCTCTTAAAAGTGCCCTGGAAGAAGAGGCTTCCAGCTCTCTGGGGGGTTCTCTTCCTCCTCTGGTCTTTTGGGTTCATCCCAAATTATTCCCCAATGGAAAGATCGTTCAAGGAATTGGGGGCGGTGGCGGGGAAAAGGACAGTCTCCCAAGAGGTCAGGTTAAGCCCCGGTCTCAGGGTGTTGAAGGAGAGGCTGGGGGAAGCAGGAGCCTGTTCCTAGGAGACACTTTCTACTGGGCACCTCTTCCTAGACGGCTTCCCCTGACACCGCCACAGGAATAGGAATCATCATCCCACGCCGCGGGGAAGGAAACCAAGGCCGGGTAAAGTAACGTAGGACCCTCAAAGTAGCAGAGCCAGGAATAAAGTCCAGATTGGGACTCAGGTCTGTGGGCAGTCCAAGGCTGCCCCCTTTACCCTACAAAAAGCTCGTTTCCCCTCTGGAACCCTGGAGTCCTCTTTCCTACCCCGCCTCTTGTTCCCCAAGCGTGGCCAGGGCTAGGGCTCCAGGTCTCCTCCAAGCACCGTTCTGTCTTCCCAGGGAGAGTTTTCCCCCGCCCGGGGCTAGGGTCTGCTGGATCACCCCTAGACTTTGGATCGCGACAAGCGACGAGCGACGAGCGACGGCGCTAAGGCACAGGTGGGGCGGGAGCGCGAGAGAGCCGAGCGCGGAGGCGCGGGGGGCGGGAAGCGGGGCCCGGGAGCAGCCTGGGACCGCGGCAGCGCCGCAGCTCCTAGCGCCAGCGGCTGTCTGCCCCAGCCCCTCAGTGGCGGCTCGCTCTCTTCTTCTCTGGCTCCGAACCCGACACAGCCGCTGCCGCCCGGCGCGCTGCGAACTCCCGACAACAGCCCTGGCCGTCAGCGGGCACCAGCCGCTTCCTGTCCCCAGCGCCGAGACTGGAGGGGCGCACCGCGGCCACCGAGCCAGAGGCGCTTCAGGCTGCGAGAGAAGTCCCCGCGCGCCCAGGGGCCCGGCGCAGCTCACGGTGAGCGCCCCCCGGGGCTCGAGGGTCCCTTGACTGAGGGGGCGCATCCTCGGGGTGCCCGATGGGGCTGCCCGGGGGTCGCAGGGCTGAAGTTGGGATCGCGCACAGACCGCCGCTGCAGCCCAGCCAGAAATGCTGCCGCCGGGGAGCAATGGCACCGCGTACCCGGGGCAGTTCGCCCTGAACCAGCAGCTGGCGCAGGGAAACACCGTGGGGGGCTCGGCTGGGGCACCGCCACTGGGGCCGGCGCAGGTGGTCACCGCCGGCCTGCTGACCCTACTCATTATCTGGACCCTGCTGGGCAACGTGCTGGTGTGCGCTGCCATCGTGCGGAGCCGCCACCTGCGCGCCAAGATGACCAATGTCTTCATCGTGTCTCTGGCCGTGTCAGACCTCTTCGTGGCGCTGCTGGTCATGCCCTGGAAGGCGGTCGCAGAAGTGGCCGGTTACTGGCCCTTTGGAGCGTTCTGCGACGTCTGGGTGGCCTTCGACATCATGTGCTCCACCGCCTCGATCCTGAACCTGTGCGTCATCAGCGTGGACCGCTACTGGGCCATCTCCAGGCCCTTCCGCTACGAGCGCAAGATGACCCAGCGCATGGCCCTGGTCATGGTCGGCCTGGCCTGGACCTTGTCCATCCTCATCTCCTTCATTCCGGTCCAGCTCAACTGGCACCGGGACCAGGCAGGCTCTTGGGGCGGACTGGACCTGCCCAACAACCTGGCTAACGGGACGCCCTGGGAGGACGTTTGGGAACCCGACGTGAGGGCAGAGAACTGTGACTCCAGCCTGAACCGAACCTACGCCATCTCTTCCTCTCTCGTCAGCTTCTACATCCCGGTGGCCATCATGATCGTGACCTACACGCGCATCTACCGCATCGCCCAGGTGCAGATCCGCAGGATTTCCTCCTTGGAGAGGGCCGCGGAGCACGCGCAGAGCTGCCGGAGCAGCGCCGCCTGCGCGCCAGAGACCAGCCTGCGCGCTTCCATTAAGAAGGAGACTAAGGTGCTCAAGACCCTGTCGGTGATCATGGGGGTCTTCGTGTGCTGCTGGCTGCCCTTCTTCGTCCTTAACTGCATGGTTCCTTTCTGCAGTGGACACCCCGAAGGCCCCCCAGCCGGCTTCCCCTGCGTCAGCGAGACCACCTTTGATGTCTTCGTCTGGTTTGGCTGGGCCAACTCTTCACTCAACCCCATCATCTACGCCTTCAACGCCGACTTCCGGAAGGTGTTTGCCCAGCTGCTGGGGTGCAGCCACCTCTGCTCCCGTACGCCGGTGGAGATGGTGAACATCAGTAATGAGCTCGTCTCCTACAACCAGGACACCGTCTTCCAGAAGGAAATCACAGCTGCCTATATCCACATGATGCCCAACGCGGTGACCCCAGGCGACCCGCAAGTGGACGATGACGAGGAGGAGGGCTCTTTTGATCGCATGTCCCAGATCTATCAGATGTCCCCAGATGGTGACCCTGTGGCAGAGTCTGTCTGGGAGCTGGACTGCGAGGGGGAGATTTCTTTAGGCAAAATAACACCTTTTACCCCAAATGGATTCCATTAAACGGCATTAAGAAGCTCGCTCCTGGATCTGCATCACTGCAGTGACATTTACAAGCATGCACACACGCGCAAATACACGCCTTTCCAGCGCTGCCCTGTTTATAATGTGTTTCTGAGTAGTAGCTCATGTGCGTAGAAACCTCACCCCATTGATTGGTAGTTCAAAGAATTGGCAGAAGCAGTTGCAATAAACTCAGTCAAATATACCCAGCCTGCCAGAGGTGACCCTATTAAAGAAGAGAGTATGGTGCTGGGTCCTTTAAAAAAAAAAAAAGTGATACTTGGTCCTTAAAAAATATGCTCTCCCCTCCCTTTTTAAACAAATGGCTTCTTCAGTCATTGTTAGTGTTTAAATTGATTTTTAAACAGCAGGTTGGGTGTGTGTGCAGTGATGTAGTGGGAACATAGCTTTCCTGGGGCTGGCTTCCGGTGGCTCTGTGCTTATGTCATTTCTTCTCTCTGTGCTGGTGGGTGTCTCTATATCATAGACGAGGAAGTCTCCCTCATTTATTCTGGGATTATTTGTATGGTGGGGTGACTATCTTTGCTTTGCTACCTTGTGTTTCAGAAATGCTTGTGAAGAAACCATGAGTGCATCCTTAAAATGCAAAAATGTTTGCTGGGTCTGGAAGGACGTGCATATTTTCTTTACAGTTTGGCCTTAAAGGTACACACAGGGCAAAGGACCTTGAGGAGCTTCTGTTTTCTCAGGTTTCTTTTTATTACTAATACACATGTGGGGTCTGTGCCCAAACCTGGCATCAGTGGCAAGGCATTAGATCTTCTCAAGCCTAGATTTTTTTTTTCTCAGGTGGAATTTTTTTTTGAAATAAGACAACTCTCCTAATTCCTAGACAGATGCCATCAGTTCATTGAAAAGATTGTGTAGAATAATAGCTCACTCTTTCTCCATGAGAAATCTGTGGCATGTTTTAGAATGACATGCCTTTTGAGAAATCGTCTTTCCTGAAGAGCTTTGAAATGTGTGACTCAAGATGCTTTAAAATAGAAATCCTGTTTTTTCAATAGGCATTTTCCTTAGTGGACAATAGCAAATAGGGGAATGCTTTTTAACTAAAATGTAGAAGCCAGAGATGAAATGTGAATGAACTTGAAACTGGAAAATCTGTAGGTCTAGGTGCTCGGTAGAAGAGCCCGACTAACTCCAATCATTTTGTTTTTCCTCTCTGCAGTGTGCACAGTCACAGTCAAGGGGAGTGTTTTATTCCAGACCCACACCGGTTGAGCGCATATTATTAACATCAGATCTAAATATGAGCGCATATTATTAACATCAGATCTAAATATGAGCGCAGTTAATGGAAGCAAATGAAATGTGAATATGTAATGTCTTACAAGTCCCTGCTTTCAAGCAGTTTTATCAAGGACAGTTCAATCAATTTTGTTCTCTTAAAGGATAATTTTATTGCCAGTCTTCTGGGCAACCATATCTTGATCACCGCAAAATGTGCAGTTCCTGGCATCTAACACTTATTAAATATCTGTTGAATGAATGACTATTTCTGGAACAGTGAGGTTGAAAGCAAATCCTATCCAGTACATCCATTTTTATATGTCATTTAGTCAAAATGATACTGGAACCTGAGGTCTGCGTTCAGTTTCTGACCTCCTGTGTGTGAATGGATAGCTGAGCAAACCATCAGGCCACATTGGGGGTAGTGAAAAGCACACTGCTCTAGGGTTCCGGAGACTGCCACGTGACCTTGAGTGAGTCAATTAACCTTTCTGGGACTCATTTTCTGTCTGTGTCTGTAAATGGAAATCTATGCTAGATCACTGTTTACCAAATTGTGCTTTGTGACGCAGATGTTAATGGATGGGGTCTCTGGTGACATAAGTCCAGCAAACCCAGGTTCAATATCTGTCTTCTCAACAGGACTTCTTAGAGCTTCTCCTGTGCATGATGCACCCTCCAGTGGGGCAAGATTCTGTGTTTTCTCCCACTGCCGTTCACCTTGTGGACCTTGTTTGGTGGAATTCCTGTTACTGTCTCTCTGGAGTCCACAGTCGTGGTTTGAGAAACTCAAATCTAACTGATCTGGAAGTCTTTACAATATTCTGTTCTAAAGCATGGGTTGTTATAAGCAAAATCTTTTGTGAAAAACACTGTTGTAGGCTCCAGTTTAGATAAGTCCTGTGTTATGGGAAATGGATTATGTGAAGACTTTGGAATTTCCTTCTGTAAAATATCATTCACCATTCCTTATAATTATGTACTATGCACTAGGCACTGTTCTAGATGCTGGGAATATAGTTGTCAATCAAATTCTCTGCTGTCTTAGAACATTTATGTGAGTCAGTGGAGAGATAAGCCAATAAAGATTGCTTCACTATACTGTGCTGCATTGCACTGTGCTGTGTTGACCAGGATAGGTAATGCCAGGCAGAGGATATTGCTATGTGGCAAATAACCCAGGGTGAATAGGGTGGTGAAGCTGCTGTTTTATTTATGGAGGTCGGGGTGAGAGGGGGCCTTTTCAAAGAGCGACATGAAGGAGACCTTGATTGGGTAAGAGTTGGAGCACTGCTAATGTCTGGGAGGGACAGTAATCCAGGCAGAGGGCGTGGCAAGTGCAAAGGCTTGGAAATGGGCTTGTTCCTGGCACCTTGGAGGAGTGTGGCTGGAAGGCCATAAAAGAGGAGTGTGATAGGATTTTCATTTTATTTTTATTTTTTATTTTATTTTTTTTGGGGGGGGAGGAAGGGAGGAAGGCAGGAAGGGAGGGAAGGAGGAAGGGAGGGAGGAAGGAAGGGATGAAGGAAGGAAGGAAGGGAGGAAGGGGGGAGGGAGGGAGGGAGGGAAGGGAAGGAAGGAAATCAAGCAATGAGAGAGACATTGCCAATCTGGATCTAGAGGTTTACACGTTGATTTCTTTTTTCTTTTTTTTGAGAGAAGGAAAGAAAAAAAAATGAGTAAAGGAGAGGAAGAAAGAGGAAGAGAAAGAGGGAGTATGAACGGAACGGAAATATTGCTTTATTCTGAAAAAAATATGGGTATTAATAATGGCCAATAAATGTTTCATTTAAACCTATGAGTAAGTGTGATGTGGTATTGACAAGAATGTATATTTTATGTATTTAAGGGGAGAGCTCTATAAATATTTATTAAGTTTACTTGTTCTGGATCTGAGTTCGAGTCCTTGATATTCTTATTAATTTTCTGTCTCATTGAATCTAAGTCTCTATGTATCTGGGTGTTAGGATTGTTAGCTCTTGTTGCATTGATCCTTTTACCACTATATCTTTGTTGCTTTAAAATCTATTTATCTGATACGAGAATTGCAACTCCTGCTTTTTATTTATTTATTTATTTATTTATTTTTGCTCTCCATTTGGTTGGTAAGTCTTTCTCCATTCCTTTGTTGTTGATTTTTTTATATTTTTTATTGCATTTTAGGTTTTGGGGTACATGTGCAGAACATGCAAGACAGTTGCATAGGTACACACATGGCAGTGTGTTTTGCTTACTTTCTCCCCTTCACCCACATTTGGCATTTCTCCCCAGGCTATCCCTCCCCAGCTCCCCGACCCCCCCATTGGCCCTCCCCTTTACCCCCAATAGACCCCAGTGTTTAGTACTCCCCTCCCTGTGTCCATGTGTTCTCATTTTTCATCACCCGCCTATGAGTGAGAATATGTGGTATTTCGTTTTCTGTTCTTGTGTCAGTTTGCTGAGAATGATGTTCTCCAGATTCATCCATGTTCCTACAAACGACACGAACTCATCATTTCTGATTGCTGCATAATATTCCATGGTGTATATGTGCCACATTTTCCCAGTTCAGTCTATCATCAATGGGCATTTGGGTTGGTTCCAGGTCTTTGCTATTGTAAACAGTGCTGCAATGAACATTCGTGTGCATGTGTCCTTATAGTAGAACGATTTATAGTCCTTTGGATATATACCCAGTAATGGGATTGCTGGGTCAAATGGAATTTCTATTTCTAAGGCCTTGAGGAATCGCCACACTGTCTTCCACAACGGTTGAACTAATTTACACTCCCACCAACAGTGTAAAAGTGTTCCTTTTTCTCCACATCCTCTCCAGCATCTGTTGTCTCCAGATTTTTTAATGATCGCCATTCTAACTGGCGTGAGATGGTATCTCAATGTGGTTTTGATTTGCATCTCTCTAATGATCAGTGATGATGAGCATTTTTTCATATGATTGTTGGCCTCATATATGTCTTCTTTTGTAAAGTGTCTGTTCATATCCTTTGCCCATTTTTGAATGGGCTTGATTGTTTTCTGTAAATCTGTTTGAGCTCTTTGTAAATTCTGGATATCAGCCCTTTGTCAGATGGGTAAACTGCAAAAATTTTTTCCCATTCTGTTGGTTGCTGATTCACTCTAGTGACTGTTTCTTTTGCCGTGCAGAAGCTGTGGAGTTTGATTAGGTCCCATTTGTCTATTTTGGCTTTTGTTGCCAATGCTTTTGGTGTTTTGTTCATGAAGTCCTTGCCTATTCCTATGTCCTGGATGGTTTTGCCTAGATTTTCTTCCAGGGTTTTTATGGTGCCAGGTCTTATGTTTAAGTCTTTAAACCATCAGGAGTTAATTTTAATGTAAGGTGTCAGGAAGGGGTCCAGTTTCTGCTTTCTGCACATGGCTAACCAGTTTTCCCAACACCATTTATTAAAAAGAGAATCCTTTCCCCATTGCTTGTTTTTGTCAGGTTTATCAAAGATTGTATGGTTGTAGATATGTTGTGTTGCCTCTGATGCCTCTGTTCTGTTCCATTGGTCTATATCTCTGTTTTGGTACCAGTACCATGCTGTTTTGATTACTGTAGCCTTGTAGTATAGTTTGAAATCCAGTAGTGTGATGCCCCCCGCTGTGTTCTTTTTGCTTAGAATTGACTTGGCTATGCGGGCTCTCTTTTGGTTCCATATGAACTTCATGGTGGTTTTTCCAGTTCTGTGAAGAAAGTCAATGGTAGCTTGATGGGGATAGCATTGATTCTGTAAATTACTTTGGGCAGTATAGCCATTTTCACGATATTGATTCTTCCTAACCATGAACATGGAATGTTTCTCCATCTGTTTGTGTCCTCTCTTATTTCGTTGAGCAGTGGTTTGTAGTTTTCCTTGAAGAGGTCCCTTACATTCCTTGTGAGTTGTATTCCTAGGTATTTTATTCTTTTTGTAGCAATTGTGAATGGCAGTTCGTTCTTGATTTGGCTTTCTTTAAGACTGTTATTGGTGTATAGGAATGCTTGTGATTTTTGCACATTGATTT